AAACAAACTCAATAGATTTTAAAGTCATCTCTGCAAAGAAGTCAGGATTTACATTTAATGAAGCAGATGTATATTCAAATGAAAACTTCAAAGCTATTGCATGGTTAGATAATGACGATTGCTTTAAGAAAATATTTAAATTCAGTGACTCAAAGATGTCAATAGATGACCTTCGTGGAATGTTACCATCGAGAACTTTTATGAGATAATATTGAAGAGAGATGATTTTAATATGGTGTAAATGGTAGCTTGGGCAGCTTTAGGCGCAATGGGAACAAAAGCATTAGCATTTGGAGCAAAAGCACTTGGAGCTTATGACGCAGTAAATAAAATGAGTGGAGGAAGGGTTTCAAAGACATTAGATGCAAATAAAGGAAAGATTGGAGGCTGGGTTGCAAAGAAGTTAAGATTAAATAAAATAGGGCTCATAAATAAAGCATCCAATTTGGTTGCGACTGAGTCAGAAAATGCTTTAGGAAAGGACGATGAGTTTGCAAAACACGCAAAAGACTTTAATGACCAGATGAAAGGTGAAACAATGCATTTAAATAGAGTCGATGGAACTAAAGAAAATGTTTCTTCTCCACCAGCGGTTTATCCATACGGACCTTATGGAATGTATGGAAACCCTTACGAAAGACCATTTGACCCATTGACTGGTGGAAGTAATTGGTATCATTACGGACGAAGAAGAAAGACAGTCAAGTTGGAGACAGATGTTAAGAAAGCAACTAAAAAGAAATCAAGGAAGAGAGTTATAAAGCAATGAATTCAACAGGGTGAAAAAAGAGGTGAAAAAAGAGGTGAGATCTCACCACTTCACCTAAATTTATTTTTGTGCTATGTTTTCATACGCGTGAGGGTGGTGATATCATTAATTTTTAAGTTTATTTTTTATATAAATGACAGAACAAAAATATAACATTTCTACTCAACAGGAATGAGACCCTTACTGACTATGTATTCGTTTAATGCTTGATGAAAACAATGGTACATATTATCGTATGGGTATACACAACGTCTGTTTCCATCGTCGTCGTATATGTAGAGCTCAAATCCAGTCCAACCTTCTTTTGTACAATATGTAGCTTTATTTAAGTATGCATTTATGTAGATAAGGCAATTTTCTTCATCGCTCCAGAAATAATTTTTGTTCTTTGTTGAAATAGTTTTCGTTCCTCTGCGACCATAAGGAATGTATGCAATGAACTTTGCGTCATAAGGGATTGTAATATATTCAGGGTTTCTTTCATCGTCAATGGGTCTGTCTTTGTTAAAATGCATGTTTCTCAGTTTTACTTGAGTTTTGAATAGTTCACGGAAACGTTCTGGGAAAGAGTCATAGTAAATATAGTCGGACATGTCTTTGTAATGAAATAAAAAAGTTGGAAAATAAATAAAATAAGGTTATTTTTTATTTAGTGAGGATGGTAGTGAAGTCGTTAGTGAAGTCGTTAGTGAAGTCGTTAGTGAAGTCGTTAGTGATTGGCGGCTTTGTAAATATTTAAGGTTAAGTTGGTGTTATGGTTGTGTTGTAAAATATACGTTAACGGTTTTGTAAAGTGTCAGATTGACATATCTTCGGTAAGATGGCGCGCAGTGCCACAGTACTGAAGATAGTCATACTAACTTGGTTGAGTTGCTGACCTTGTTAATTCAGGGCTAACATTAACTTTAACATTTTGAATAATTCGTGATTTATCATCATTTACGTTATAACCAACCGTAATCTCTGCTTTTGCGTTAGTGTTCTTTTGACTAGTGAAACGTCTTCTCATTTATATTCGAATAAAAAAAATATTTAAACTTTTATTTTGCTGGAAGTTTTGAATCTATTATTCCCTGTATTTGTTCTTGAAGTTGATTTTTAGCTGGTTCATTGTAATTAATAGACCGAATATATTCATTAATTGCATTCTTATAATCATCTGATTTCTCAAATTTTCTTTTATCTGATTCCTTAACTAAATCATAAGTTAAACCTCGTTGCTGATATAATGGTTTCTTAATTAAATCTTTGAATGCTTGAGATAAAGCACCTGATGCAATTCTTGCTACTATAATTGGTTGGAATTGATGTTTAAGTTCATCTTTAACATTTGCGAAAACTGGATCGAATAAAGCAACTTTAAAGAATTTCTTAGCTGAAATTTCAGGTCTAATATTTGCATATTGACCATCAAACTGGTTAGAATATCGTGGTAATCCATCCGGTCGTTCTTCAATAGCATTTAATTCTTCATTGAAATAAGAATATGGATTATAACGGTATGAATTAATTGGACCATTTTCACCTTCTCCAATGTATTGTTTAACAGCTTTTCCATTTTCATCAAATTGCATAGGATAACGTTCATTATATGCTTTACGTTTAGGATAATCAGTTATAGTTAATTTATAACCATTTATGACTTTAATATTACCTTGACCATCAGTAACGAAAACTTCATTTATACCATCAGGTTTTCCATTTGGACCCGTAATGTCTGCTTCGTGTGCTTCCCAATTTGGACCTTGACGTTTGGTATATGCTTGAGCTTCTGGTAATGTTAAAACGTTTCTCATTTGTTTAACATCTTTTTGAAGACCAGCAACAATATAAACTAATTCTTTCATTCTATCAGGAACTTTCATAGTTCTATTATATGCACCCTTTTTGTTTGTTCCTTGTTTTAATGGAACCTGTAGAAGATTTGCTATTTCTGTCATGTTTAATTATAAATAAAAAATAAAAATTAATTATAAAAAGTTAATCAAATTTAACACTTCCTTTATTTAAATCAACTATTATTTTTCCATGTTCACCTAATTGCTGATATTGTGTGTAAAGTTCATTAATGCTCATTGGTAAATTCACTTGATAAAGCATAACGTTCAACTGTTGACGACTAAACCCACTGAAAATGAAAAGGGTTGATAGATTTGATTTAATGTTTGTGCTTAATGCTTTGAAGTATTGAACAGCCATGAAGAATGAACACTGAATGTGTCGACATTGAGTTAATAACTGATTAAAATATGATTTCTCATTTGTTATTAGTTTTGATTTCACCGCATCATCTAGAAAAATGAGTGAATGCAAAAATTCTCTATCAAAATTTGAAATAGAAAGTGTTTCAAATAATTCATCCCGTTGTTTATCAATAATTTTATCCTCTAATCCTTGCTTCTTGATTGTATTATATAATTCTTTATACATTAAAAAGTTTTTTAAATAATCTTCTGCTTCTTCTTGTGATAAATAAATAATTGGAGTTTTGTATGGCATTCCAAACGGGAACCGCGGTTGGTTACCATGGATTTCCGTCACCGGTCACATTTTAAAGATTTTTAAAGCCTTATAAAAATATGCTTTGTAAATCATTTTTTGTAAATCGGCAAAAATTTGGTAATTTTCTTCAACTAATAAATCTGCGAATAGCATTTATAATACAAGAACAATCTTTTAAAATGCGTTTGATTCATTTTTGTATAATTTTATATAGGCACATATATTCTTCCGGGACTTTCCGTGATTTTACCGTAAAATCATTAGTTTACACCAATTTTTCCGTATTTTGAATAGTTTACTGCACTTTTTCCGTAAAATTGAGTTACGGGAATCCGCAAAATTTCCGGACCTCATTTTTCATAGAATATAATAATAATATTTGATAAAAAGATATATTATTTATATTTTTGATTTTTGAATTACGGAAAAAGTGAATTGTTAACTTGATTTTTTTATATGGTTAATTTTTCAAATGATATTATGAAGATCTAAAATATTAAAAGTAAAAAATTGAATTACGGAAAAAGTGAGGTCAAAAGTGAAATAAATTTGCAGAACAATTTTCATTGAAATAAGACATTGAGTATCACACTTTAGTGAATCAACATCTATAAGAATGAAGTGTTTTGAAGCTGAAATAATATTGAATAGAAATTAATTTTTTCTGAAATTTTGAATGAAATTATGGGAAATAAAAAAATTACTAAATATTGTATTCATACAAATATATTATTTTAAAGGAAAAATAGATGCTGATAGAAACGATGAAAAATTTTGAAAACTTTACAATTAATTTATGTTCGTTAACCACAGAGCTTGCAATCCAAAGCTCACGTTAGACTACAAGAGTCATGAAGTCTCATACTAAGGGATATCCAACATATATTTTAATAATCTAATGTTTGTGACAAATATTCAACATAAAATTAAGTTTTCGTTTCGTTACAAGGCATTCATACTTTGGAGATATCATATTTAATGTACAGAAAAGTTAATATTAAACAATACATGCTAAAGAATTAATAAATAAGATAATAAAATAAATTTATACGTAATTACTTTCATTTAATATGCTTTATGCTGTATAATATTGATTAAGAGGCATTAAAAGGTTCCATAGTCTGCTTTTATAGGCAAGATTTTTGATAAAAATTTAAAATTTTGAAAAATGATGAGAAAAGGAAAAAAAAAGGTAAATGAGAGCAAGAGGAGGGAAAAAAAAGAAAAAGAAAAGAAAGGGAAGGGAAAAATAAAAGAAAGAAGGACATATAAAAATTTAGATGCGCATTCTTAATGCCGAGGCGGCTTGCCGCCGAGGCGCGATTTTTTTAGGCCTCTACGGTAACCCGGCAATGTTTTTTTAAATCTTGTACAGCCCTAGAATTTTGATTAAATGCTTTAAAGATTCAAATGTATCATCTGAAGGTGAACCTGAACGGTTGATATAAATTAACACGTGTGAATAGGGTGAAGTGTTAGCAATAATGATAATTTGTTTTAATATCGTTAATGTTTTACCTTTATTTTGTTTACCAATTGCTGCAGTGATTGAATTTAAGTAACATTCAGAATATAGAATTTTCATTAATTTTTCCTTAGATAGAGCATTTCTATTATCACTCAATGCTTCATTAATCATATCATCTACGTATGTATTATATACTCCTGCTAATTCTTCATAGGGAGTGTATGAATTTAAATCCATTTAATCAAAAATAAATTTATAATTTTAAACATTTCTATTCATCAATATTTCATCATATGAACTTCTATACTGTGGTGGTGTACCTGTTGGATGATATTTCAAACCTTCATCCGGTGTCCATGTCCAATATGTAGTCCTAGTAAACCAAACCTGAGGAGGATTTGTCACCTTTGAACAGTAAGTGTCATTTTCACCCTGAATGATTGGATAAGCTTTCACTTGTACTGTAACTTGTGAGTTGAAAGTTTCTAATCCATCAACATTATGAAGAGCGTATGAGAAATCTGAGCTGATACCTTCAGGAGTGATGCAACCTCCATTTAGTGAACGAACGTCAATATGTTGAGCTGGAATCATGAATGGATCTTCCTTACTGAATAAACGTGGTAGTGCTTTAACTGATTCTTCAATTAAACCGTATCCTGGTGTAATGCATTTATCCTCTAAAACTTCCATCTTTGTGCATGAAATAATAACGTCATCAACTGTTGCGTCAGCAGATGTAGCGGCTAAGCTTGTAATTAATTTGGTAGGAAGTCCGATTTGTTGGAATTTGCGATCATATTTATAAACATGATTCATAATCTTTTCATAATTTTCATCAGTTATCTTTTCATAAACGTAATTTTGTAAATCAGCAACTCTTAACGGGTCAACCTGACAAAATACTAAAGTATCCCTGAAAACATAATATTTAAGAATGATATCACCAAATGATTTAGGATAATCATCGAACGCCTGAAATGCTAACAAATCATTTACCGGAATAATCATATCAAAAGTGACATCAACTTCTTCATTTGCTTTCTTGAAAACTTCTGAAGGGTCAATATATTTACCACATACTGAGTTATCATATTTTTGAACATTATTATATAACGAATGAACAAACTTTTTAACTTTCCTTTCTGATTTTGGTTTATATGTTGCAAATGCGAAAGATTCACGGGCGCAATCCATCTGAAGATAACCGGCATCACCTCTTTCGGTTTCTACTTCTAATTGTTTAAAGCTTTGATTTGATGATTTGTAACCAACGAATAAACGCATGCATTTAAAAGCGGCATCGCATGTGAAAGCTTTATTTGAAACTAGAGTTGCTTTAACTTTGCGTTTAATATATGTGTCACCTAATTGGTTCACATCATGAGCCGGATTTGTAATTCTTAAATGAGTTTGTTTATCATCAAAATATGGAGCATCAGAGTCATAGCATGAACTTTCAAGTTCTCTATAATATCTTCTACCGTCATTCTTTGCGAATATTTCATTTATCTTTTCGAATGAATGAAACACATTTCCATTAATCGGTTTAGTGTTTGGCACCAAATAGTTAGTCGTCATTTATTAATAAATAAAAAATCAAAATTAAAAGATGAAAATGAATTTTTAATTTAATGAAATAATCAACTATGGCTGCAGGTATATTTAAGAAACTGTGGGATAGAGTAAAAAAGAGGAGCGAGTAAAGTTTGGGAAACATTGAAGAAGGGGGCAAATTGGATATTTAAGAATAAAGAAGCAATTAGTGACGTTGCTGAATCAATAACACCAAAAGCTGCCCCAATAAGAGAAGTTTTAAATAAAGGAGAAAAAGTTTATCAAAGACTTCAACCGATACTAAGATAAAAATAATTTTAAGCCGCTAAGCGGCGAGATGATCCATAAGATCTCATATTTATTTTTCCACTATCTACCTCCTATTTTATTAAGTATTCCTTCAGCAATTCCACCAACTGCGTTACCTGCTTGTGCTCCCATCGCCGGATTACCTGCTTTAGTACCTAATACTCCACCTATGATAGTTCCTGCCGTTTTCGCTACTGGTGCCAAAAAGTTTGCAACGGGTTTAATAATCTTTTTATGAACCCAACCCGCAGCTTTCTTAATTCCATCCCATAATTTTTTAAAGAATCCTGCCGCCATTTCTGATTTAATATTAATTAAAAAATATATTTCATCACTTATATTCTAATTTTTATTTAATGATAAATGAAACCGATTTTAAAAATAAATGAAACAGAGGAGGAAGAAATAAATGAAAGTGAAAATGTTCAACAAAAAATAAACGTTGTTAAACCAATTACTGAAATAAAAATTTTTTCATCTGTTGAAGAATTTAATGACTATTATGCTAATAATAAAAAAATATTTGAAGAATTGACAACATGTAAATTGAATAAAATGTTTAAAGTTGATGGATTCAAAATTTCAAAAATAAAAGGAGTGGTTAGTTTGAAATCTATTCCTCAATCAAGAATCACCTCATTAATGAAAATTAATGATTTAACAAAAAGAATAGAAGAGATTGAAGAAAGAATGAATCAAATAATTGATTTCATAAATTCAAATAATCATTAGTTTCTTAAAGTTCAATGTTGAACTCATCAAATTCTTCTTCATCATTACCATTACCTTTAGCGAGTTTATTTACTCTTTCAACTTTATCTTTTGATAGTCTTTCGTTTAATTTTTTCTGAAGTTTTTCGTTACCAAGTTCTAAAATTTTACATGGATGATATTTAAACCCGTTAAATTCTTTTTCCTCAGTTTTAATCATTAATCTACAAAGAACTTTAGTGAGGTGGTTTTGTTGTTTAAACCATTTATCCTTAATATTTGTTATAAATTCAATATCCGGAATTAATTCCCAAATTTTTGAATTTTCGATTAATTTACCATCAAATGCAAAAGCAATAGGTTTAATATTAAACTTACCAAATAAACTTTGTACGCAATCATCAAAATAAACGTCTACTTGTTTAACCTGGGTGAGAATTGGTGAAAGTTTATCCATTAATTGATTCACAGTCACGAATTTTGATTCACTCATTTCTTAAAAAAAAAAAAAAGTAGTGGGGCTTCCAGGCGCGTTGCGCCTCTAGCCCCTAAGAAACTAGAGGAGGAATGATACAAAGACCAGATGAAAAAAATAAAAATATTATAATAAAATTAAATTTTTAGTCTTAAATTGTTTTTTTTATTCGGTATATTCTGAATCTTGAATGTCTTGGAAATTTTCTTCTTCTTCGCTCTCTGAGGTGAGGATTTCTTCGACTTCTTCTTCTTCGCTCTCTGAGGTGAGGATTTCTTCGACTTCTTCTTCGCCATTGGGAGCAACAAATCCTGCGATGAAAACTTTGTATATACCTTCTTGAGGAGTCTCTATGATGAAAGTCGTATTGTTGAGGAAATGGAACTCGACATCTTGAACAAATTGGCAACTGCTGTGTGTGAATTTTGCAATTGTGAGAGGCTTTCCTTTATAGCCCTTGGGAAAGCTTGAGATAGTTACTGTTCCTCCATATGGAACTCTGGCAGGAATATCTAAAGCAACAGTTGTTATAACGTGGAAATTGTCTAGAATTGAGGCATAGGTTCAATGCAGTATAGTCGTTTTGACTGGTTGTCTTTTGTGTAGAAATATAAATAGAATGACCTTTCACCATGTTCATTCAATTCTTCCAAATAATTGTATGAATTTGGATATAAACGGACAAATTCAGCAATTTTAACTTCTTGTAAATGCTTCTGCAAGTTCTTTGGAAACAAGTGAATGAACTGGTCAATAGCTTGCAACGCTATGAGATTGGCAGTAACGGGTAAATATGAAGCAAACATGTCAACAAGTACGCCAGGGTCTTTGATTTCGTTTTCAAGAGGCTGAATGGCATCCATGACAGCTTGAAACATCTCGTTATAATCTCGATTGTCTTCTGAACCCCACTGTTCATTTAACTTATCTAACAATTCTAACCTTTTCTTTGCGTATTTTCTACGAACTTTCTCTGAAAGAGGAGTGTCGCTATCTTGTGTGTCTTGAATTTGAGACTTAAATTGTTTGCTAAAGGCGAGATATCGTGTTTGCGACCTAGTGGTCATTGCAGAATGTGTTTCTGTATGTTCGATTGGATGTGTTTCTGTATTTTCGGGTGGTTGTGTTTCTGTATGTTCGATTGGAGTCTGATTGGTATGAACTTCTTCTGAAAATGCTTCTGTTCCGATAGTTGTTGTTGCCTGACCTGTTGGCTGAGCTGTTTCTTTGTGCAAATGCATATTGTCCAACAATTTGTCTTGAATTGTATGAGGAAGTTGCTTTGGTATTATAGGAGGTCGTAAGGGTTTTGAGAATGGTGAGACATAAGTTGTAGGAACTTTAACTGCAGAGGTAGTCGACGAATTGTTTGCGACACTTTTTCTTCCTTCCATTATGAAAAATAAACTGTTTTTTTCGGACTACTCATAGAAAAGTTTAAAATAAACCGTTTTCGTCAACGGTAACCCCCTCTATTTTTTTATTTTATTAATAGTTACCGTTGGCAAACCGTTCCATCTCAAATATTGAATGAACTATAAACGTTTTTTGTTTTCTATATATACTTTTTTGTCCAACGGTAAAACTTTTTACACAACGGTTTTTGAGAGTCGTCGCCGTTGACTTTTTTGTAGAGCACTCAAAATAGTATAACTTTGTCCGGACAAGTAAGGGTCTATCGTCGCTACAGGAAAAGTTACAGGCGTTCCAAGGAAGTATACTTTGAGAAGCCTTTTCCCCTTATAGAATGAGATAGGACGGTTATTTTACAAAACTGACAACACTTTGACCGAGTAGTTTTTTGTGCTGAACAAAAAGTGTCATATAAACATCTGTCAAAAACCGCTTTTTAACTTCACTTAAAATGCCACGTAAGCTACGTAAGAATATACGTAAGAGGAAGGGAGCATTGAAACATCCAATAGTAAAACTGACACCACAACAACAGTTGCAACAACAAATGATGAATGACCCCACTATGTTGCAACAAATGTCAAGCAACCCTATGCTTTTAAACCGAGTTATTGGTGCACAGAGTGGAGGTTTAAGAGCGGCACTTTTAGCGAAAATGGCAGGCTATGGTGGAGCTGCAGACGGAACAGCTTATAACCCTCAAAGTCAAATGAATTTGAGTTCACTCAAAAATCAAATAACAGATGTCAAAAAGTCAAACATAGACATACAGAAACAAATAAGTGAAAACGAAAAGAAACTAGAATATGACAGACACACAAAGAAACTCAATGAGTTAAACGTAGAGAAAAAGAAGAAAGAAGAACAACTGAAAGAACTAAGTACAGAGGAATATGCGAAAAAAGTGTCAGAAAAAGCAGCAGAAGTAGCAAAAATGGAACAAGATGTTATAAATTTGAAAAACCATACTACTCAATATAAAGTACTGAAAGATGAAGAGATAAAACAAAAAGCCCTGAAGACATATATGGATAGCGATGAGTATAAAAAAGAAGTTGAAGCAAATGTAAAGGCAGAAAAACTTTTACAGTTGCAAAACCAAACCGTACAGTATGAAAACTTAGCACAAGAAAGTAAAAATAACGACGCAGCCATGCAAAAGGCAATGAAAAGCGCAGAATATATAAAAGCTAATAATGACTGGTTAGATGCCCAAGCCAACGCTAAAGCAGCCCAACTTATAGGGTCAATAAGGACAAAAATACAAGCGGATGAAGACAGTTCAAATGAAGCTTTAATGAATGCTGACTTTAAGAACGCCTTCGAAGCTCTTCATAGTAAGGTGAAACTAGTGAACGACTTCTCATCTGGAAAGAAACTGAAGTCTGAAGGTTTCGACAAAGAGTTAAGAGAAGTAGCACAAAATATGACGAAAATAACAGATGCAGCAACGAGACAGGCAGTTCAAAGTGCCTATGACGCCGTTAGAGCAACTGTTGTGGAAAGTCAAGAAAAAGAGTTACAACAGACCAAAACAGACCTAGTAAATGCTTTCTTAAAACGAAAAGTCAGGTAGGACATTATGCTGCAGATGGAACATATGTGCCAGCTGGTGGAACTTATATACTACACCAACCACCAAACTCCAAGAGAAGCACCTGCACCAGGACTACCTAAAACATTTACATCGTCACATGGACACAGACACAGGCATGCACCAAAACCAACACAACAACCAACAGTTCAAAATCCAACACAACAACAGTTCAAAACCAGCACACAACAACCAACAGTTCAAAATCCAGCACAACAACAACACCAG